AACTGCTAGCTTGAGATAGCTGCATCTATGTAAATATAATGTCGGGTAATCCGGCTAGGAAAACGGATCACATGTATTCTGCCTTTTGGACTAGTATGTGGGTTTTGGGTTTTTTTTTCTCTCCAGTAAGTCACTTGCACTTAGTTGTTGAACTAGACTCCAAGTAAAGGCACGTATAAGAATACCCAGGGGGAAGAGACTGTGATCGAAGAGAAGGAGAATTTATGAATTGCCACCGGGAGAGCAAAAACAGATGATGCCATGGAGAAACGCAGAGATTAAGTTGTAGTGGGTCTAATAAGCTAAGACGAGAGCCTGAGTGGGAATTTGCTCTGTTCCCTGTTCTGGCCCGTTCCCTCCAAGCTGCGTGGGAGTGCTGACGCCGCCTCCCGTATGACCCACGTTTGCTTGATGCTGGAGAGAGACATGGAAAAGCAGACAGGCACACAGATCTTCCTCTTGCCTACCCTCAGTTTAAACAGTAAATGTTGATGTTTTGTGTGGTGTAGTGGTAGCATTATTATAAGCTGTATCTCTCTGCCTCAAAGACAACCCATTGAAAATAATGAAGTAAAGTTAACAAAAAGTTAACACATTCTAAGCTACTTCTCTGGAATCCAAGGTTAGAAATTGAGTGTTATGGCTTTTACTGAGGACCAAGCAATTGTCAGGATTCAAGAAAAACTAGTCTCAGTGAGTTAGGTGTATGAATAGAAAGGGCCCCAAGAGTTTAACTTTCCAAATCAGCTAGGCGCTTCAGTCATTTTATTCTGTTTTTATTAAAAAACCTATGTTCTTGCAGTAGTTTGCATACATTTTTAAGATGCAGCTGAGAGATGTAAATAGCAAATTTGAAGAAATTTGAATTGCCTGATTTTAAAAGCGTATCTTGATTTTGTGAGGAAAAGAAAGTTAGAATTTTTCTGACCATTTCTAGACTGTCGCTATAACCTTATCCTGGCAACCTCTGTTGTTTTTCTTCTTTTTCTCTATTATTTGTTGACTTGGATCGTCCTTTATTTAGTTTGCAAGCTATGTTTGAGCTAGGAACATCTCTCTCTTGATCTGTCTGTGATGTCTCTAGCACACTTTTGGGCATAATTATAATCATAAAGATCTTTGAAACCTTTCCGCCTGATGTCTTGTTATCACTAAAGCTGAGGTGTTCTGTACTGGCACCATAAAAAAAAAAAAAAAATTAAAGTCGTTTTTAGACTTCAAACACTTAGAAAATAATAAAAACAACTAAACAAGACTGCAGTTTACCTCTTTGCCGCATACAGAAATATCTGTTTCATTGCAATATCTTAAATTCTTGCTTAATCTCACAAGCCTCTATGAATAAAGCGTTGGATTACCAAGTAATACCCTTCATCACAAGGAATTATGCACTTTAGCCTTAGGCTCCATCTAAACCTTGCATTAGGAGAGATATTACTGACGTCATGTTTTCCGAGTTGCAGCTGACTCGCATGGTGCGTTCCCCCCCCGCTACCCTTTAAGATCTTGGAGAGACGGTGAACTGTGTCTCTCGTGACTCTTTCTCTCGTGGTCCCTTCTTGGGTGACTTTGAGGCACTAGCATGCATATGGTTTTGCAGCTAAGAGACAGGAGCAGGAAACCTGGTTGCTATTTGTGAGTGTGCCGCTTAGTCCCCGACGGAGCTTTGGCAAATTGTGTGATTTCCTTCATCTATAATATTGATAAGTTAGAATAGCATTTTACTTCCAAGAAGAATGTTTTTAATTAGGGCCCTGATGTGCTCATGTCTTCTGTCTGCAATATGCAAGAATTAAAGTACATCCAGCTCACGATTCCTTCCTCCTATTTCTCCAACTATTGTATTTCAAAATTGGCTCTCCTGCTAGAGTTTCTGTAGTTCTGTGCCATTAGCTATGAGAATAGTATCTGAACTCGCATAGAAGTGAATGGGATGGGTCTCTCTACTCCGCTGCCCGTTGCCTCCCCACAACAGCTGGGCTAGCAGTGAGGAACGCAGCAGGCACCTGGTGAAAAACTGCCCAGCAAATCTTCCATGATTTTCAAAGGTGCTAGCTCTGTTTGAGGCGTAGGAAGTGTAGGAGTTGCCACTGTGGCCTTGAACCATCATTCAGTCCTTAGTGTTTACAAAGAAGTGCGTTCTTGCTAAGCGTTGTTAAAACAGACCTCAGCGTGAACCGATTTGCTTTACGACACTTGCTGTGTAATCCTGTCTGGTGGAAAGACTTCTGGTTGCATTTGTTTTTTCTTCTTTTCTAACTAATGTAGATGATAGTATGTTGCAGCTCCCGTAAGCATGAGTTCCTTAGGTTTAGCATGTTCCCATAATCTGGATAATTGCTTGTGTGAAGCTATTTTAGTTGAGCGTTTTATAGTTTGCTAGACAGCTGTTTATCTTGCAGCTTATTGACACTGCAGTCCTTAGCAGAAGGTCACATCGTTCAGTAGGTGTTGACTGCTCTATTTACAAAGTTCTCACCTGGTGTCATGTTTCCCTAGGAGTTGTAACAGCCTGTCATCCTATACTTAAGAAAATGCTTGTCTGTAGAAGACCTAATGAAACAAATTATTGTTGCCCCATTGTAGCTCTGCATTGTTTTTGTGCTGTGTTACTTTAAAATAATAAAAATCAAATTGACCTTACAGTTTGCAACGCAGCTGTAGCTTTCACCAGAAAGGTCATTAGCCAGAACCTTGCAGCAGAAGGTTTGCAGTCCATCCCCACAGCCCATGGCCCCAACAACAGTGTACTGTGTACCCTTGGGACTGTTGCAAACAAGAAACTTGGAAACTTTCTCATCTGCTGAGTTACTAGGCAGCAATTTTATAAAACTATTTAAGCATCTACTAGATCAGAATAACTTCTTTACAAAATTTCTCATCTAAGGGTAATTACATAATTGGGCAAATTTTTAAGTTTATTTTTTTCATCTGATGTGTACATGCCAGAGTCTCTTTGAGCGTTCTTACTAGAGAGTCCTAAAAATCTTACAGGAAAACAAATCTGCTAGGCTTCCCCCATGAGCACCATCCCAAAACCACTGTTGGCAGTTAGTAAATGCCAGGAGTTTTAAACTGAAACATAATTTATAAGATTGTGAAAGTTATGCTGAGCTAATAATTAAAAAGAAAAAAACCCCTCCCTTGATTCAGCTTTTCTGATTTCTATCTAAATAGTTCATCAGCCCAGAAACCTACGGGACCGTATAGCCCAGCAAATATTGACTGCCTGGCATAAACAAAATGGCTATGAGCAATCGGAGGTGTATTATTCTTGCAGGGGGAAGGCTAGGTGTGTGTTGCTTCAGTAACAGGGCTCACTTTTTCTCCTCTCTTCTTCTTTATTTTTGAATCCCTTTTTTGGCCTTCTTTCCCCGATATCAGCACGTGCGTTTTTGTCAAGCGTTCTTGTCTAAGTTTTGAAGATTCTGTGAAAGATCTCGAAGATGCAGCTGCTCTTGCACCTGCAGGACACTGTGGTTAGAAGCACTTTTCAGCTATTGTGGTGCTGCCATCCTTTTCAATGCATGCTTCCACTGGCTCTTCATTCTCTACAGTATTCATGTACCAATTGCTTGGTTTCACTTTCAAAGGCTTTTATAATCTTGTTCCCACCCAACCTGACTTTTCTCATTCAGTTTTGGGATTGATTCCTGTCTCCAGGAGTTTGTTAGGAGCCTCTATCAACCTCTTCCTAGATTTTTCAGACTAACACTTATTAGCTTTCCCCAGGGCTGCCTTTCACACTTGGGAAGAAACATCTGCAAAGCTATCTCACCTTCATCTGGTTCTTTTTATTAAAATCATTCTTTGCCGTGATGCCTACCAAAAACGTATGGCTGCAAATGTGATGTTCTGTGACTATTCTTAGTCTTGCTGATCAGGGATCTAGACTGAGGGAACAATTTTCCTATTGTTATTAAACAAAGAATGCGTGTGTTTTTTTTGTTTTTTGTTTTTTTTTTAAGAGCTAATTAAACAATATATTTTAATGCCTTATTTATCACTTCTGACCTGTACATTATGCTCTTGAGTCTGCAGTCTGGTATTGCATATGTACCACAATTAAAAATCTGCTGGCAGTTGGAACATAGATCATTTGTAAGGGCTCACTTTAAAGAAGTGGAAATCTGAAAGGTGAGAGAAAATTGAAGAGTTAAGTTTTGGTTATTATGATGCTAAGGTGGTGTTGCTCTGCAAATCCGTATCTTCTCTCTTCTATCAACATCTAACTGTTCCATATCGTTATGTCATTTGCTATGAAGTGTTATAAAAATGTCCTTCTGCATCTAGGTGCCCTACCCAATATTTAAAATATACATCAAACTACTATTTCCCTAAACAATTTTTAATGATAGAGTCCCAAATTTTAAAGTGAGGTCATACCAATAAATATTCTCCTGTAATTCTCATCTCTCTGAGATGGCAAAAATGAAAAAGGATTTTGTAGTGTTTTTTTTCCTGGCAAATATTTTTGCTCTTGAACACAAGGTGCCTTTGCCCTTATACCTTTTTCATGTCACTTTTTTTTTTTTTTTCCAAAGGCTCTGTCAGTTCAAGAGAAGTTAACTTAAGTGATAAAATACTAGATGCAATACCCTTTAGAGCTGCCTAGAGATAACTGCCCTACAGCATTTATGAAGATTTGAAAGTAGCTGATAAAAATAAATGTGAAGCGTCAAAGAGGGAGCGATTACAAAACAAAAGAAACTCCAAAGTATATTTTTCAGTGTAAGGGTTACAATTTGTAATAGGAATGTGTTTTATGACAACTTTAGTCATTTGCATTAAATGGTCAAATTACTGATTTCCTTTGCAGAAATACCAGTTGCTTGTAGTTGGAGTTGTTCCAGATTTGTGGTCTTTAAGGAGCCTATTAAAAATGCCATCTAAGTTAAACAAAAAAAAAATCTAGATTTTTAAGGCAAAAGTAGTGTGAGAAAATCTGCTTTGAACTTTTAGTAACTGTTACATATGTTCTGTGTTTTTTGTCTTTATAGATTTTCTTTCTGCCTCCTGAGAGATTCGTTATGGCAGCCTGCAGTGATCAATGATACCCTCTGACAAAGATAGATGCCAAAAAGCCAGATGAAAACAGTGGCCTTGTTTCCTTTTTACTCCAACACAGTGAAATGGTGCTCTTACAGTTTTATTATTGACTCTCAGTGGAAAAAACCTCCTGGCTGGACAGTTTCCCTCCACCCTCTCCCAGTGTTCTGATGGATGGCTGACTGTGACATCATGTAGTAGGTCCTCAAGTGTTGTCACAACTGAGTTGCAATGGTTTTATACACTTCCCCATTTCCCAACAGCTTTCTGTCAATTCTGCATTCCTTTTCCTGGGGCCTGATTTTCCCATGTTATTGGTTTGCAGATAGGCTTGTGGCCTCTTTTGTTCCAACCACCTATGAAAAACGTCAAAGAGCAGATGATCCGTGCTATTTTCATGCACTCTGCATCATTATTACCACCCCCATCTACTTGGCGCTGTTGGTAGCCTCTCTTCCTTTTGCTCTGATTGGCTTCTTGTTATGGTCCCCGCTGCAGTCAGCTAGAAGGCCATATATCTACTCCAGACTGGAAGACAAGAGCCATGCCAATGAAGCCACGCTGCTCACTGAATGGAAGGCTGCAGGGAACGGGAAAAGCTTCTGCTTTGGCAGTGCCAACGTTTGCCTGCTGCCAGATTCTCTGGCGAGATTTAATAATGTTTTCAATACGCAGGCTAGGGCTAAAGAGATTGGCCGGAGGATCCGAAATGGGGCAAGCAGACCGCAGATCAAAATATATATAGATTCTCCTACTAACACTTCCATCAGTGCAGCAAGTTTTAGCAGTTTGGTCTCCCCGCAGGGCGGAGATAGCACTAATCGTACTGTCAATGTTGGCATGAAAAGGACAACATCAATGGAGTATAAAGGAGACAATTCTGGCTCAAACAACGGTGAGGAGAGTAGAGATGATAAGGCTGGAGTTGGAGAGCCAAATGAAGGAGAAGATAATGCTTGCATTGTCCGCATAAACGGGGAGGATAACGGCCACATGTCAGATGCCGAAGCAGAAACCATCAATGGCCAGGCTAATGCCAGTGATCCAGCAGAGCAGTCCCTGGAAGGTGATGTAGAGAGCTCAAAAACACCTAACCACAAACAGAAGGAAGGTGATTCTGGGAGTTTAGACAGCTACACTGCCTCCCGAGAGTCCTTAGTTAAGGTTCGCATTGGAGATGGTACAGTGGACCAAAGCACTGTCAACAACAAGCTTCTCTACAAAGCTTCGATCATGAAGAAGACTTCAGTGCGGAAGAAGAAACATACAGATGAGACCTTTGATCATGAGATCTCTGCTTTCTTCCCTGCCAACTTGGACTTTCTGTGTTTGCAGGAAGTGTTTGACAAAAGGGCTGCAGAGAAATTGAAAGAGCAGCTTCATCACTATTTTGAATACATTATCTACGATGTTGGGGTCTACAGTTGCCATGGCTGCTGTAGCTTTAAGTTTGTGAACAGTGGTCTGCTTTTTGCCAGCCGCTATCCTATTATGGATGCTGCGTATCACTGTTACCCCAATGGAAAAGGAACGGACTCCTTGGCTTCCAAGGGAGCCTTGTTTCTCAAGGTAAGAGCTTTTCTTTTTGAAGCCCTAAATATTGCTGCTACGTATGTGACAAGTTATAAAGTTATTTTATTTCAGTCATTTCGGAGTTCAAAGAAGCAATATTCAGATCTAGTTTACCTGATGTAACCTATATATAGGTTTTGCGGCCTAGATACTGTGCTAGAGTGATGGATGTGCATGAAATAATGAGGGACTTCTGGAGGTAGAACTTAAGCATAGTTTTAAGTGCCAAAATTTGTAGTGGTTTTCATGGAATTTTGGTTTTGTTGTTGTAGGCGTCCCTTTAATGCACGAACTCTAAGCTTCATAACACAAATCTAGTAAAATGGGCGTTGACTCTTGGAAGCCACTCACGTGTGTTGTGTATTTATGAGGAAGTCAAAAGATAAAAGACTAAATGCCATTATAATAAAACTGAAAGAATATCAATGAAACGTGTGGGTATTTCTCTGTCTTGCTTACAAAATACTTGCTAAGGTGAGATACGAAGAAGAGTAAAGAAAAAAATGCTTGTTACACTGGGGAGCACAGGAGATGTCCCAGTTTATTAATACAGTTTATTTAAATTTACTGATGGTGGTGAGAACAGGAAGCCTGGGGTCATGAAATCATGTAAATCATGAAAAGCAGAAATGAAAATCTGCATGCAGTGGTTTGCTTTTCCAAGACCAGTAGCTGTTCACGCTGAAGCTGGCTGTCGTCTTTGCAAATTGGAAAGTGGGTCCTTCTAATTTGGGATTAACCAAGAACCCAAACTGTGCACGGAGGTCCACATCTGTAGACCCACACCCAGATAGATCTGGAAATTTCCTAGCATACAGGGTTTCAGGTTTTGGCCTTTTGTCGCAGTTTGCAATAGGTTTCACTAAAATAAAACTGAACTTTTTTTCTAGGGCTCCCAAAATACTTCAGCTGCTCAAATTTTATGTACTTTCTAGTGTATTGCTTCCTAGACCACAACACAAACCATTGCTAGGCAGTCATTAAGAGTAGGTGTTGTTGTTAAGGCTCAGTGTTTTCATGTGTCCGCTGTTTGTAATTTGTGAACAAAACAGAAAGTTTTGGTATTATAATTTACATAGAAAAACACATATTACGTTTTGCAGTCAAATAATTCTCCAGTACGTCTTACACATTTGACATCCACAAAAGCCTATCCTTATCTGAATGCCAATTTTTCAAAAACTGAATCTAAATGTTCAATGCTGTGCTCTTACGTGTTTATAAACAGCTAATGTTTATTCTGTCATCATAAAGCACCATGGACAAAATAAAACCAAAAAAAATACGTGTTGTACAGTATAAAAACTACTTGGGCACAAAGTCTACCCTTCAACATATGCATGTGTTAGGAATTAAGAGATTAAAAACAATCTGCTTTCATCTGCCCGTTGCTGAGTCATGGATTTGTTGCCCGGCTAGGCAGGCAGCAGTGGCTCTGTTTCCCTTGCAGAAAATTAAGCCTCTTTTCAAAATTCCACTGGGATGATAAACTTAATTATGGATCCAAGTTGTTAAACAATGTTACAGTTGAGCAGGGAATAGGCGCCAATTACTATAAAGATTCTAAGAAGACTAAATTCTTTTGAATGTTACAGGATTCTGGCCCAGCTAAAAGACCCATGTCTTTTACCTCATGTCTGTGTCATTTTTGACGTAGTGCACTTTATTCCTGAAATATTTTTCATTCTGGGTTAAGTCTACCGTGGTATGAAATGCCTTGCTGTCTGAACCATTCATTAAGTGGTCATCGGTCATTTCTTTCTTTTACAAAAAGTATGTAGGAATGATCTATTTAATTTTAGCTTTGAATCAAAGTATGTTGGAAGGTGGTTTTTCATAATGTAGTGCTTAATAAGTAGCTCTGTGTGTGCGTGTGCGAGGACTCCAGAGACGAAAGCTACAGGAAGTTAAAGTCTAGGTTTTTATGGGCCTGGTGTGTTTTATGAAGCCATTGAGAACCAATCCATTGATTTCGGAAGTCTTCAGTTCAGGTTCTGCATTGGGATAGCAGCAAGCTAACAAAACGTTAGCTGCAGTAGCTGCTGTTGGAGGGGGTCATTCTAGCCAGTAGTCAACCCTCCGCCGTGCAAAACGGACAGCATACCTCACAGGCATTTTCAGATCTTCGCTTAGGGTAAGATAATATATTGTGATGTATCCGAAGCAATAATGAGATTTCAGAAGAGTGTATTTCTGACACGAGCATAACTAGGCTATGTTTTGGAGAGACTGTTTTGTCGTGTTTGGCTTTTGCAGTATGCCATCCCTGGACAGTTCATCTCTTAACCTTTGCTTTAATGAACGGGCATGGAGTTAAAAGTGTCACATTCTTTATCTTGAACTTTTTTCTGTTTGATCATAAGCCGCTACTTTTTTTTTTCCCCCTCCTCAACAGATGTGAGAAGACTTTTCAAAGTAAGGCCTTAATAACGATCACTTTTTTTGAGCTTTCTCTTCCCTTTCCCTATTAATGAGCTACCTGACCGGGGAGGAATTAGTTGCTTTTTACTCCAAGATGGAACACTGGAGTGTTGCACAGGTTGTGATCCCTGACGCAGATACAAAATGCCTTGTTGTTTTCTTCCCAGCTCCTTTTGTTGTTTTGCACTGCTTATTTTAGTCTAGTCTTAGCGTTCGTTCAGAATGGCAGGTAGTCTCTAAAATGCAGTATTTTCCTTTTTCAATGAAAATATTCTCCAAACAATTATCCCCTCACTTCTCACAAAGCATGCTGTTAACCGTTTTTGGTTTTGTACGTTTATAGATGAGAGAACGGCTTGGACCTGAAGTCACTGCTTCTAGATGTTTTCACTGGCTGATGGTAGCCCTTATATGACTTTGTGTGTATACAGTGTATTCAGACCCTACATTGAAGAGTTATCGCAGTGTGGTTTCAAAGGTAGTAGTATAGCCTTGCAGAAGGTCCTCTTCGTTGCTCCGCCTTCGGTGGAGGAATGAAGTTAAACGCCTCCGTGCTATGCAAACTCTGGGTTTTTAAGTCTCTGACTCCTTTGGAAAGCACAGTGCTCCCATTTCTGGAATGGGAAATGCTGTAATTTTAGTTTTGTTTTTAAAGTACACTTATGAAGCCTGCTCCCCTTCAGGAACAGCTCTCCGCACTGTTTAAAAAAAAAAAAAAAAAGTGTGAAAAGCAGGTGAAGGGAGAATATTTGAATATCTTGAAAATACAGATATAATCATGTATGGTTTCCCCTCACTGGGAGGATGAGGCATTTATTCAGATCTTTCAGAACCTCAGAAAAGACTCAACTCCCAAATTCAGAGGAATGCTCAGAGAAGGGAATTGGGAGGTTTCGTTTAATAAGTACTCTTTGTCGTCTTACCGCAGAGCATAACCATCAAGGAGATAAATTAAAGGTCTCAGAACTAAACACGTAATGAACGTTGAACTATTCTGAATGGAAAGGCAGAACTGTTCCTGGGGAGTTCTGTTACGAAACAGATCCGTGCAGCCAAGGGAGAAGCGTTTCATAAATGCGTTCCTTTTGGAACGGGTCCCGTTTCCAGTGAAGGGGAAATGCTTTTCCATTCCCCCCTCTTGCCTTCCCTGCCTCCACCATCTAGACTGTAACGTTCAGGTGGAGATTTGAAAGGATTTGAGAGATTTGCGTAGTCATACAGAATATTTTACCTAGGAGACTTAGACAGCTCAAGGGTTATTATTAGTAGCTATAATAATAATCAGCTCTCTCATACTGCTTTTCATTCATACATCTCCAAGTGTATTATAAAGAAAGGTCAATATCCTGTTTCCTACTTAAGAGAAGGAGAACTAAAGCACGGATTTGATTGTGGTTTAACACCTGGGGTGTCATGACGAAGGAAGGAAGTTGAAGTAAAATACAGAAACTTTTAACACTGTTTCAATATATTGACTGGGCGCTTCCTAAGAGCTCTCTGGAGACCCGTGCCAAGGAATTTAGCTAGTCTTGGTCTAGTTCTCTTCCTAAAGATGTCCGCCACAAAAGGCGCTGCTGCTGCTGGCGCTTTCTTGTGAGGAGCTATTGTACACCGCCCGTTTTCCACGTAAGCGGAAGACTAATTTACATTCAGTACTTTGATCTCTTCAAACTCTAGCAGTGCTCATGCCTCAGACGTTAGAGGGTCTCATCAGGACGCAAGAGGGACACAGTCACAGAAGAAATAGCATATAAGATGGGGAGACTGTCACTTGCATCTAAGTGACAATTTAATGTGTGAAGTGTTAAACTACTGTTCTTATTTGCTACTAAAGACTCAGACGAAAAGATAGCAAATATCTAAATCAGCCAGTCCATTTTCGTACTTTGACAGTTTGGGCCCTTGGGAGACTCTGCCGTGACTCTGTGTTCTAGCATAGTATTTCACATTAATTTAAAATGCCTAAGAAAAGAACCCTGAGTCTGCTTGGTAGGTTTTATGTCTCCTATTATCTCATACTGCCGCTGTGCTCCGGATAGAGGAGGGAAGCGTGGCTGACGCTGATGCTGTCCCCTGCTCGTGATTCTAGCTAATAAGCTAGCTTGTATGTGGCTGTGCGTAACAGGATGCAGGTTACAGGTTCCCAGGTACGCTGCAGCTTTTGATTTGACGCATACCTAATTTTAATTCACAATATTTCTGATGAACTTAAAGGAAGACTTAAAATACATGTCCCTTTCAGAAACTGGAGAACGGTTTTCCAGTCAAATCAAGGATTACAAGGTATCAAGGAGGGCTGATCAGAAATTGTTCAGTGCATCACCAGTTTGCAATTCACCAGCAGATTTCAAAACAAAATCTTAGCGTTCATCTTCAGATAGAGGTGTTAGTATGTATCAATATCGTTAGTTATATTGCCTTTCATGGGTGCTGGATAAGTTTTTGGACAGTAGCGTAATGAAACCAGAAAGCTCCCTCTTAAACCTTAACTTGACCTGATGGTTTACTGAGTTGGAGAGCTCGTCCATACTTCTCCAGAGGTATCAATGTAATAAGCCTGTCACCTTTGCTGACAA